GTAGATCTATCACATATATAGAATAGAAGTCAAAGAACTAGATTTTTAATCAATAACAAATAGATCTTGGAAGAAAATTATATATTTTGTTTAAAAAATGAATTATGGATTCAAAAAAACGTAAAAACATTGTAAATCAATTATTTATATCATAATAAAGACGAAAAAAATATATTATATACCCCAAATCATCAATGAATGAATTTGAAAAAGAGCTCCTACCTTGATTCTTGAGATTTTGATCCTAATGTATTTTGTTGCGATTACCACGTGTCAATATTTCAAGATTCAAATGCTTTCTCACTTTCTTCTCCTAAAAATTTCCTAGCTTTTTGGGGTTGAAAATATAGGTAAAAAATTTTTAGATTGCGGCCTTAAGATATTTATAAGCTGAAAAATAGAGAATTCTTGTGTGGCGCGCAAGTAACAATCTTTCCCTGACTTTCAAATCGATTTTTGATCTAATTAGAAGTTGATTTACGAAAATTTTGTAAAATATACTTTTGTAACCCTTGAAATATAATTTCTACTGTAAAAAATTCAGGTCAATCGAACAATGGGATAAGAATTTATAACTAAAATACTAAGATAGTGTCAAATTCTTTTCTACCTAAATCTTCTCCGAAATTAGTTTTAACTTTAAAATACTTTTAAACTTCTAATACAACTCATATAACCTTTTTTAATATTTTTCAACCTTTCAGATTCAATGGAAACCTTATTTTATTCTAAAAATATTTATAAAATTATTTAACCACATTTCTAAAACTTAAACATCTTCAACACTCAATTTACCCTGAACGAAAATACGCACAAAAATCAAACTTTATAATCAATCTTTCTACAATGATTATAAGTTTTCATCATTTTATTCATCTTATAAGAACTATTAATAGAATATTATCCTTATTAAATTTTAATACGGAGTCTTACAAGAGAGTACAACAACATAAATAGAAATGAAAAGAAAAAAGAAAGAAAAAGAGGAAGAAGAAAATGCATGTTTGGGTGTATATCTGGTATTGTCTAGATAGATAGAGAATAATGTTGTTTGGATGCATAAATTATTATTAAATACCAAAAATACCCTTAAAGACTAAATTGACTCAATATTTAAACTTTGGGGACGAAATTAAAACTTTAAGAACGAAAGTATAAAAAATAGCAAACTTCATAGACTATTGATGTAATTTATCCTTTTTTTTTTTTTTAAGGTCAAATTTAATGATCATATTTTATCTTCTTTTAAATTTGAATTTATCGATCAGAGAAGTTTATGCTAAATCAAATTATTAGTCAAATTTAAATTTGAGTTTAGGTCAACCGCANTAAGGTCAAATTTAATGATCATATTTTATCTTCTTTTAAATTTGAATTTATCGATCGGAGTAGTTTATGCTAAATCAAATTATTAGTCAAATTTAAATTTGAGTTTAGGTCAACCGCAATCTTAATAAAAGTTAGGGGCATTCTGTAATTGAATACTTTGGATGGGGTGGTCACATAGACATGGCTGACGTCAACTGCCAAAGAAGAAAGAGGGGAGAACGGGAGGGATATACGGATAGAAAAGACCTAAACAAGAAGAAATTAGAAACCCACAAACAGGAAAAAAAATTGGGTATGCGGAATCTCTTTCGTTCTCTCCCTCCCTCCCGTCTCTCTCTGTCTGTCTCAGCATATATATACACAAAGACGTGTGTGTCGCATATTTATACATATCCTGAATGAACTTTGTNTTGTCCCACTACTACCTCTACCACTACCACTGCCACCGCCACCGCCACCACCATCGCCACTAACGCTGCTGCTACCACTACCACCACCATCATCGTCGTTGCTGCCAACGCCACCACCACCACACTCGCCCCCACCGTCACTACCCCCCACCACCATCACTGCCACAAACGCCACCACCACCATCCCCACCACCATCGTCGCTACCCTCGCCGCCACCACGGTCATTATCACCCACCACAATCATCACCATCTCCTACTACCACCATTGTCACCCACCACCACCACCTCTCACCCCCCCACTATAATCTAATGTTTAAATTCTTTTATCTCTTCTCTATGTTTATGATTTGATTTTGAATACGAATACAAATATATTTATTTTTTACCATTTTTTACTACTTTTTGCCTTTAGGCACATGCAATAACTAGTTTATTTATATGTCAATAATCTGTTTATTCAAGAATTTAAGAATATATAAAAAAAACAATAAATTTTTTTTTGTAGATCTATCACATATATAGAATAGAAGTCAAAGAACTAGATTTTAAATCAATAACAAATAGATCTTGGAAGAAAATTATATATTTTGTTTAAAAAATGAATTATGGATTCAAAAAAACGTAAAAACATTGTAAATCAATTATTTATATCATAATAAAGACGAAAAAAATATATTATATACCCCAAATCATCAATGAATGAATTTGAAAAAGAGCTCCTACCTTGATTCTTGAGATTTTGATCCTAATGTATTTTGTTGCGATTACCACGTGTCAATATTTCAAGATTCAAATGCTTTCTCACTTTCTTCTCCTAAAAATTTCCTAGCTTTTTGGGGTTGAAAATATAGGTAAAAAATTTTTAGATTGCGGCCTTAAGATATTTATAAGCTGAAAAATAGAGAATTCTTGTGTGGCGCGCAAGTAACAATCTTTCCCTGACTTTCAAATCGATTTTTGATCTAATTAGAAGTTGATTTACGAAAATTTTGTAAAATATACTTTTGTAACCCTTGAAATATAATTTCTACTGTAAAAAATTCAGGTCAATCGAACAATGGGATAAGAATTTATAACTAAAATACTAAGATAGTGTCAAATTCTTTTCTACCTAAATCTTCTCCAAAATTAGTTTTAACTCTAAAATACTTTTAAACTTCTAATACAACTCATATAACCTTTTTTAATATTTTTCAACCTTTCAGATTCAATGGAAACCTTATTTTATTCTAAAAATATTTATAAAATTATTTAACCACATTTCTAAAACTTAAACATCTTCAACACTCAATTTACCCTGAACGAAAATACGCACAAAAATCAAACTTTATAATCAATCTTTCTACAATGATTATAAGTTTTCATCATTTTATTCATCTTATAAGAACTATTAATAGAATATTATCCTTATTAAATTTTAATACGGAGTCTTACAAGAGAGTACAACAACATAAATAGAAATGAAAAGAAAAAAGAAAGAAAAAGAGGAAGAAGAAAATGCATGTTTGGGTGTATATCTAGTATTGTCTAGATAGATAAAGAATAATGTTGTTTGGATGCATAAATTATTATTAAATACCAAAAATACCCTTAAAGACTAAATTGACTCAATATTTAAACTTTGGGGACGAAATTAAAACTTTAAGAACGAAAGTATAAAAAATAGCAAACTTCATAGACTATTGATGTAATTTATCCTTTTTTTTTTTTTTAAGGTCAAATTTAATGATCATATTTTATCTTCTTTTAAATTTGAATTTATCGATCGGAGTAGTTTATGCTAAATCAAATTATTAGTCAAATTTAAATTTGAGTTTAGGTCAACCGCAATCTTAATAAAAGTTAGGGGCATTCTGTAATTGAATACTTTGGATGGGGTGGTCACATAGACATGGCTGACGTCAACTGCCAAAGAAGAAAGAGGGGAGAACGGGAGGGATATACGGATAGAAAAGACCTAAACAAGAAGAAATTAGAAACCCACAAACAGGAAAAAAAATTGGGTATGCGGAATCTCTTTCGTTCTCTCCCTCCCTCCCGTCTCTCTCTGTCTGTCTCAGCATATATATACACAAAGACGTGTGTGTCGCATATTTATACATATCCTGAATGAACTTTGTGATTTGCTCCTTACTTTTTACATCACTTTTTAGCATTTCATTTCTGAGCTTAATTTGTTCCGCTGATATTNATTGGGTATGCGGAATCTCTTTCGTTCTCTCCCTCCCTCCCGTCTCTCTCTGTCTGTCTCAGCATATAAATACACAAAGACGTGTGTGTCGCATATTTATACATATCCTGAATGAACTTTGTGATTTGCTCCTTACTTTTTACATCACTTTTTAGCATTTCATTTCTGAGCTTAATTTGTTCCGCTGATATTGATACAGATAGTTTGTGGGAAATTTTGAATTCGATATCAGATAAGCATAATAAATCTGTACATCCAGAATTTTAAGGTTTTAGGTATTAGGTATGGAGTGTTTTCCTTCGCATGTGGAGTCTTTTAAGTGTTCTCCTTGAGTCTGGGGTTTCACTAGTGTCTCTGTGACTTGGTTTTGAGCTTAAAATTTTCGATTTCTCTGCTGGGCTTGGGTTAATTTATGTCTAGATGTATATGCATTGATTATGTTGTTGGTATTGATTTATAATTCAAAAGGCTTCACACTTTCATCAGGGTCTGTTTTTAGGTAGCATTCAATTGGTTTTCAAAAGTGGGTCAGCTGTGAATGAGATTTGTATTAAGTTTTCGTATGCGGTTGGGCTCTTGGGACTTTTACATATCAAAGATGCCAAAGTTCCACAAATCTTTGCCTTTCTATTTTTTGCTTTGGTGCTCATATGCGAAATTGTTTTGACGGTTCAAATTTTGTTCATCTCTTTCTCAAACAAATTGTCATTACGGTGTTACACTCTGCCATATCTATAACCCCCCCCCCCGGGGGGGTTCAACAAAAAAAGTTTGCATCTCTATTCCTGTTTGTGTTGCCCAACCCAAAAAAAAAAAAGAAACCAGTTTGGATTCCTAATTCCTAACCTTTTTAGATTGAATTGGCAATAGTTAACATTATATTCCTTATGTTTTCTGGATATTAATGAGCAACTATGGTTCATTTGGGAGTTATTCAAATGTTCACTCCGGAAATATACCTATTGGCACACAACATATTGCAAGTAATTTTACTGTTCATGTCCTTTTGGGCATACATTTCTCATGTCTGCACACGTGGAAGAATGTCATGAAGATTCTGCTTACTCTGTGGGCCTTTAGCTTTGCATGGTACTTTCTGCCAACCGATATGTATGTCCTTGCATTATGTAAATGGTTATTGCTTTTGCACAGCCTGCATAATTTTTGTGTAAGCTTGCAGGTAATTGGCAGGAAACAAGTGTATAAGTTGGATGAAAAGGCCTGAAAGGGGAAGCAGTCATGGCAGAGAGCACAGAAATTGAGGACCGGGTGGATCTTGATGATGATAATTACATAGAAGATGAGGATGATGATGTTGAAGAACAAACAGAGGATGAAACAACAGAGGGAGGTGAAGACAAAAATGGTAAAGAACAACAGGTGGACTTCAGAAGTCAGGATAGTGAAAAGGAGCAATCACCGGAAGCAGATAGAAGACACATTTTTGCTGTGCCTTTGAAAGATGAAGAAAAGCCCGCTTCTTCAATCAGTGATGATGACAAAAAGAAGCATGCTGAACTTCTTGCTCTTCCTCCTCATGGTTCTGAAGTTTTTATTGGTGGCCTTCCTCGAGATGTTTCAGAAGAAAACTTGAGGGATCTTGTCGAATCAGTGGGCGAAGCTTTTGAGGTCAGTTCTAATCCAGGAAGGAAAAAGGATAAAAAGAAAAAGAAAAAAGAAAATCTTACAACAATGATCCCTTATGTTTATGCCTGCATTTCTTCTTTACCGGGGACTTTCAACATGTTTTTAATTCTCCGTGGTTGTGAAGGTAAGGTTGATGAAAAATAGGGATACTGGTGAAGGTAAAGGTTCCGCTTTTGTAGCATTCAAAGCAAAGGATGTTGCCCAGAAGGCCATTGAAGAGTTACATAACAAAGAATTCCAGGTACAGCTGATTTTTCTATGAGGCTCCAATTTTTTTCTCTTTTGGGCCTTTGAACATTTAGAATATGCGCACTTCTACTCATTTGCATTTTCTACACCATTTTTTGTTTATGACTTTCTATATATTTTTTAAACTGCAGGGGAGATCATTAAGGTGTTCACTATCTGAAACTAAATACAGATTATTTATTGGTAATGTCCCAAAGAGCTGGACTGATGATGAATTTACGAAGGTCGTTGAGGAGACTGGTCCAGGAGCCGAAAGCACTGAGCTCATTAAAGTGTGTCCTAACTTCTTCTTTTTTTCAAATTTTTGAACCAACAGGCATTTTTAATTTTTACCTACTAGAGAGTGAATAGCTTTTGCTGCTGGACTTACTAGTGGTGTCGTTTTGTGTAATACAGGATGCTCAAAATCCAAGCCGTAATCGTGGTTTTGCCTTTGTTGAGTATTACAACAATGCCTGTGCTGATTACTCCCGGCAAAAAATGTCAAGTGCAAATTTTAAGCTGGATGGCAATACTCCGACTGTCACCTGGGCTGATCCAAAGAGTACACCTGATCATTCTGCTGCTACTCAGGTGGACTCGAATGGCTAGTAGTTGTCTGATTCTTGTCTTAATTTAAGAATTGACCAAATTTATTGAAGCATTCAGTGGGATTTGTGTTTTGATACCTGGTATTATCCGTCAAAAATCAAAATTTATGTTTCAACCTAACCCTTATTCTTTGCATGGTAGTCTGCACTGCCTCAAGTCAATGTAAGGTATGAAACAGCCAACAAGAAACAAAATGCAGAGAAAGCCGATGTAACCTGTCTCTCGACAATTCAATGGAACACATTGCATATGAAAGTGATGAAACTTGGAAGGAAAACGCTGTTTGTACTGATTTAAGTCACCAACTGATGTATTTTCAGCTTGCATGTGGAAACCTTTTGATAAGAACTTTAGTAGTTTGTGCTTTCATTGGGAATTTTCATTGTACACCAGGTAGACAAAATGTAATTTGATAAAATTTTATCTCACTGCACATGCATTTCACCTTCATATTTTTTTAACAGAATAAGGGTTGATGGAGATTGGAGACAAAATTTGGTTATGAAATGCATTCATTGACATTCGGATCCTGTTTGGTTATTTTAGCGAGACTGTGAAGTAATGCATATGGTTCACTTGGTTTTCCTCTATAATGCATTGGTACTATTTTGAATATTAGGTTTTGATACTGGCATAGATTGTCAGTTTGGCATTGTTAAAAGGTTAGATTTTGTGGACACAGAAAAAGGCTTAAATAACTTGCCGAAGGCCACTAAATTTGTTGGCTGGTGAATCAAACATCATGTACCTTGTCTATTGCATTTTTTAGGTGCTAGAGATGGCCAAATTTTTAATTTATTTTGCTTGTTATTCTGGCACAAATACATCTTAACTGACGGTAAAACAATGGTAGATGTAATGCTTGGAATTTTAGTGCAATACACTAACCAAATAAGTCACCACAATTGAAAGAATGTGAATACCTCACACAGACAGAATTCTACGCAGCATTGCAGTTTTCTCCGAACTTTTTGATGGAAATGAGTTTTAAGGTCCATTCCTTTGCTAAGAGCCATTAGTTTAGTACACCTTGTAAGACTGATTTTTACCTCTTTAAAATTCGGACAATGTGTGAGTGATAATTTTTAAATGAAGAGCTGTTCTTAGCAGAGAACAAACCGTCAATTCTCTATTATACTTGTGCTGATGCTATGAAACTTCTTTTGCATCTTTCTGCTTTGGTAGTAACATATTGCATTCCTAGCTTTTAAATATTATATAAGGTCTATTTTGCCCTGGTTTCACAGGTCAAGGCTCTTTATGTGAAGAACATACCTGAAAATACATCTCCTGAACAACTGAAGGAACTATTCCAGCGTCATGGGGAAGTCACAAAAGTTGTTATGCCGCCAGCCAAAAGTGGTGGCAAACGGGACTTTGGATTCGTTCATTTTGCAGAAAGGTCTATGGCATTGAGAGCTGTCAAAGATACAGAGAAATATGAAATTGATGGTAATGTTCCAAGCCATTCTTTGAATGTAATTTGAAGCCAAAAGTGGATAAACGTATAAACAAAGATTATTGCTATAAGTGACAAATTAAAATTCAGTGTATAGAAAGTATGCTGATATATGATTTTGGTAGTAGCCTTAATTGTGTTATCGATTGTAATGTTTTACATCATCAAAAAGTTGAATATTGCACATTATATATTGCTAACATGTAGAGTTTGGACTTGGAGCTATAAGCGTGAGCGTCATCCACAGGGTATGACATGATATGTTACCATCATGTTAAAAGCTGAGAAGTAGGCTATCCTATAAGAAGTTATTGCAATGACCTTGCCAAGGGTTCTCTGTAATGACACAAATAATATCTAGTGGAAGATACACTGTGGTTAGTTTTGTTTAGGACAATGCCTTTGGATTGAAAATGTTGAACTAATTCATGAACATTACAGAAGCACCACTTGGAGGGTAGCATCTTCCCACTTATATTTATGTTTCCTCGTGTATTCAAAAACTTTTTTGGGCTACTAACATCTCAATATATATGAGCCGCAGGTCAGTTGTTGGAAGTAGTTCTTGCTAAGCCTCAGGCTGATAGGAAGGTTGACGTGGCCAGTTCCCACAATTCTGGGCCCCATCCAAATTATATTCCTCACCCTGGGTATGGTGCTTTTCCTGGAAATCCTTATGGCCCTGCAGGGCCTAGATATGGTGTTGCTGGTGCATTTCAGCAGGTAATTTAGTGGATGAATCTTGCTATTCGTGTCCATTGTTGTATTTCCTTACTGATAAAGTTTCATCTCATGAATCTTGCACTCTTGAACAGCCTGTGATATATGGGAGGGGACCAATGCCCACAGGGATGCAAATGGTTCCGATGGTTCTACCAGATGGTCAAATTGGCTATGTTCTGTAAGTAGCATGGTACTTTCACTTCTTGTAGTGAAGAAATCTAATGTTGCTTTTACTCTTTTGGGGTTGTGCAGTCAGCAGCCTGGGGTCCAGATACCACCTGCGCATCCTCGGAGAAATGATCGAAGCAAGGGCACTGGTGGACCACAAGTGCGACGAGGGACTAGTAGTGGCAGTGATGAAGCCAGCCGTAGCAGACGGTATCAACCCTACTAGGGATGGTGGGCCAGTGACATGTATTTGGTTTGCTAATTATGCCTGACCAATTAACATTTCTCCTCTACCCACACCCAGAGCCTTTTTTTTCCCCCTTCCTCACCCAAGCAAAAGGAAATCAACTCGGAGTTGGTTTGAAACCTTGACAGTGACTTGTATTATAATTCACTAGAACCTTGACTGCACTGTTCAGAGATCACGAATGCCCCAGGATTCTCTCTCCTCTGTTTACTTTATCTGACATCATTTATTCTTGATCTAAGAGTATTGTGTTAGCTTTTGTGACCAGAGCTACAAAACCTGCTTTGCAGAATTTAGTTGAATTTCATTTCTCTAATTGTGTCGTTCATGCCTTACAGGGTGGTAGTCTCGTAAACTTTCAGTTAAAATCATGATATTGACCTGCTGCTTTGATGCAACCCTCTCTTGTACCATTGGTTTGATTGCAGAATGCTTAAATGCTTTGTTTGTATCTATGCAGGTAAGACCTGGCAAATACAACCACTAAATGAAAAAGCATCATCCGTTCATAGGCATAATAAAACTTTNTCACCACAATTGAAAGAATGTGAATACCTCACACAGACAGAATTCTACGCAGCATTGCAGTTTTCTCCGAACTTTTTGATGGAAATGANGCACCACAATTGAAAGAATGTGAATACCTCACAGACAGAATTCTACGCAGCATTGCAGTTTTCTCCGAACTTTTTGATGGAAATGAGTTTTAAGGTCCATTCCTTTGCTAAGAGCCATTAGTTTAGTACACCTTGTAAGACTGATTTTTACCTCTTTAAAATTCGGACAATGTGTGAGTGATAATTTTTAAATGAAGAGCTGTTCTTAGCAGAGAACAAACCGTCAATTCTCTATTATACTTGTGCTGATGCTATGAAACTTCTTTTGCATCTTTCTGCTTTGGTAGTAACATATTGCATTCCTAGCTTTTAAATATTATATAAGGTCTATTTTGCCCTGGTTTCACAGGTCAAGGCTCTTTATGTGAAGAACATACCTGAAAATACATCTCCTGAACAACTGAAGGAACTATTCCAGCGTCATGGGGAAGTCACAAAAGTTGTTATGCCGCCAGCCAAAAGTGGTGGCAAACGGGACTTTGGATTCGTTCATTTTGCAGAAAGGTCTATGGCATTGAGAGCTGTCAAAGATACAGAGAAATATGAAATTGATGGTAATGTTCCAAGCCATTCTTTGAATGTAATTTGAAGCCAAAAGTGGATAAACGTATAAACAAAGATTATTGCTATAAGTGACAAATTAAAATTCAGTGTATAGAAAGTATGCTGATATATGATTTTGGTAGTGGCCTTAATTGTGTTATCGATTGTAATGTTTTACATCATCAAAAAGTTGAATATTGCACATTATATATTGCTAACATGTAGAGTTTGGACTTGGAGCTATAAGCGTGAGCGTCATCCACAGGGTATGACATGATATGTTACCATCATGTTAAAAGCTGAGAAGTAGGCTATCCTATAAGAAGTTATTGCAATGGCCTTGCCAAGGGTTCTCTGTAATGACACAAATAATATCTAGTGGAAGATACACTGTGGTTAGTTTTGTTTAGGACAATGCCTTTGGATTGAAAATGTTGAACTAATTCATGAACATTACAGAAGCACCACTTGGAGGGTAGCATCTTCCCACTTATATTTATGTTTCCTCGTGTATTCAAAAACTTTTTTGGGCTACTAACATCTCAATATATATGAGCCGCAGGTNGATATGTTACCATCATGTTAAAAGCTGAGAAGTAGGCTATCCTATAAGAAGTTATTGCAATGACCTTGCCAAGGGTTCTCTGTAATGACACAAATAATATCTAGTGGAAGATACACTGTGGTTAGTTTTGTTTAGGACAATGCCTTTGGATTGAAAATGTTGAACTAATTCATGAACATTACAGAAGCACCACTTGGAGGGTAGCATCTTCCCACTTATATTTATGTTTCCTCGTGTATTCAAAAACTTTTTTGGGCTACTAACATCTCAATATATATGAGCCGCAGGTCAGTTGTTGGAAGTAGTTCTTGCTAAGCCTCAGGCTGATAGGAAGGTTGACGTGGCCAGTTCCCACAATTCTGGGCCCCATCCAAATTATATTCCTCACCCTGGGTATGGTGCTTTTCCTGGAAATCCTTATGGCCCTGCAGGGCCTAGATATGGTGTTGCTGGTGCATTTCAGCAGGTAATTTAGTGGATGAATCTTGCTATTCGTGTCCATTGTTGTATTTCCTTACTGATAAAGTTTCATCTCATGAATCTTGCACTCTTGAACAGCCTGTGATATATGGGAGGGGACCAATGCCCACAGGGATGCAAATGGTTCCGATGGTTCTACCAGATGGTCAAATTGGCTATGTTCTGTAAGTAGCATGGTACTTTCACTTCTTGTAGTGAAGAAATCTAATGTTGCTTTTACTCTTTTGGGGTTGTGCAGTCAGCAGCCTGGGGTCCAGATACCACCTGCGCATCCTCGGAGAAATGATCGAAGCAAGGGCACTGGTGGACCACAAGTGCGACGAGGGACTAGTAGTGGCAGTGATGAAGCCAGCCGTAGCAGACGGTATCAACCCTACTAGGGATGGTGGGCCAGTGACATGTATTTGGTTTGCTAATTATGCCTGACCAATTAACATTTCTCCTCTACCCACACCCAGAGCCTTTTTTTTCCCCCTTCCTCACCCAAGCAAAAGGAAATCAACTCGGAGTTGGTTTGAAACCTTGACAGTGACTTGTATTATAATTCACTAGAACCTTGACTGCACTGTTCAGAGATCACGAATGCCCCAGGATTCTCTCTCCTCTGTTTACTTTATCTGACATCATTTATTCTTGATCTAAGAGTATTGTGTTAGCTTTTGTGACCAGAGCTACAAAACCTGCTTTGCAGAATTTAGTTGAATTTCATTTCTCTAATTGTGTCGTTCATGCCTTACAGGGTGGTAGTCTCGTAAACTTTCAGTTAAAATCATGATATTGACCTGCTGCTTTGATGCAACCCTCTCTTGTACCATTGGTTTGATTGCAGAATGCTTAAATGCTTTGTTTGTATCTATGCAGGTAAGACCTGGCAAATACAACCACTAAATGAAAAAGCATCATCCGTTCATAGGCATAATAAAACTTTCACAAATGATAGTGGACTTGGTTGTCTGTCTTTATACCGTCAAATCTACTTGGTCCGGGTAATAACTTAATCAGTAATGTGTGCAGTCTAAGACAGACTTTCAAATATTACATTCTAAATTGTCACAGATTGGTGTTTCTGGAAGTTCTATTGACTTTTACTAGTGGGATTTAGTAATTCAACCATTGCATTGATTTGAAATATAAATTTTGTGAATATGTTTTGACACTTGAGAAGTATAGTAGGTTTGTAATCGAAGATTACACGGTGACATTAATGTTCTTAGTACAGGTTTGAATGTGTTGATATTGTCAATCTTTGTCTCTTGCTTTGGCTAATGCTATACCCTTAACGGATCATAAGAGGTTACTTTACCATTTTAGATTGTGGATCATAAGATACCAGCATGGATAGCAACAATAGGCGCGCAACATTTTTAGAAATTTGGAATCCAACTTACCAGGATAGAGACTAGGCATATATGTCTTAATACCCGGCAATACTGTTCAATCATAAGAAGTATACCCGCAGCAGTAACAAGAACATCCAACACAGCCAACAACATATTTTGTTTACCGGATCAGGAAGAAATAGATTTTATGAGCAAAATCAAACAAAGTCTCACGTGCAACAAATAAATAATGCAAAAGCACGTTCATAGATACGTCCGATAACTACTAATATACCTTTAAAAACTATTCACATTCTACCGTTCTATTTACCTAGTAAAATTTGCAAATCAAGCCCTTTCAGAACACAGGCAGGCACCATGAAATTCGAAGTAACAGTCAGTGAAAATGCCACAAGTATCAATGGCTCCCATTGAAATGAATGAGCAATTAGAAGCCCAACATAACAAAAAGATTCATAGAGTTGGAACAATTGCTATAGCATATAAAAATTTGTGTACCTACGATGCAACATCCAGAAGAAAGTTATGACCAAAAAAAGGGAGCACAGAATGGACGAAGTTACTGCTAGAACTTTTCTCAAGTATCTATGAGCTCCTGAAGACGCCTATCCAGCTCATGCAATCGAGAGCTCCAGTCACTCTTAAGGCACAAGGGTCTAACATTGCCATGATCCAAACTATCTTCATTCTCTTGGTCTTTTGCACTGTTGCGACCTCTGCTTCGACTTCGAGTGGACGCGGACAGAGATGCTGAGGAAAAGCCCCTTTTCTTTTTCATGTTCTTTTGAGCAGTGGCTTTCTGTAATGCCCACAGCACATCAGAACCACTCAGCTCTCCTTGTTCAACCAGTGATTGTAGTTGTTTTTGTTGTTGTGGCTTTGGTCTTGAATTGAAGGTATTGACTGAGGTGGTATTGTTCTGAGGATTTGATTTGAGGGCAAAGGCGGCGGCGACGGCTACGGCGTGCCCCAAATTACCCATGTCTTGGATGGACTCATCTTTCTGGGGTTGCGATTTCCGTCGAGGTTTGGCCGAGAAGGTGACGATAAAACTCCTCTCCGGCCGCCTGTTGCTGCTGCTGCTGGTGGATTCTATATTGAAGGGCCATGCTGTGGATGATCGGGTTGAGGCGGCCCACATGATTTTGTGGCTGTGGCTGTGGCTGTGGTGGCCGTGGTATCGCTGGACACTTTGTATTGAGCTGGTAAGACAAAAAGTTATGGATTCGAATCTTCTGGCCTAGAATTGGACACAAAAGTGGATTGGTTTGTTGCCCCTTATTTTTTTGGCTTGGCGTTGACGTGGGCTGTCTCACCCATAGGTGTCCGTACCTCAAATTGAGCTGTATTTTATTGGGTTACAAAGCGAATCAACAAAGATTCAAGTGATATACAATGATTATGTTCCGAGTTCAAATCATTATGATTATTTGACTCAGAGTATATTTATTGCTATCAATAAATTTTTACTTCATAACGACATTATAGAGAGGTACTCTATGCAGGAGTGTTAGATCAGCTTCCCCAAGAACCCCTATGCCCCTAAGTTTTGGCACACGAAAGCAAGATATGATCCCAACAAATGCTTGTCATGGGTGGAGACAAGACATTCCAAAATTCAAAGTCTGAGATGCAGGGCCAATGATGTGAGAGACTCATCGTTGGCGAAAATCTCATGCATAGTTGAGAGAGACAACAAATGCATGGGCATAATCAATAGGTTAATTGAAGCCGCATGCATGGCTAAAGGAGACAGCTCATGCATGGACACGTTAGATACACCTAGGAGATTGATTAAAGCCTCATGCATGGCTGAGAGAGGCAGCTCATGCATGAGAACGTTGGACACAAGCAAGCATGTAAGCAAGGCTAACTAGTGAGCTTGAATTGTGGGACAATACTAACTTGAAAGACCAAGTCATAAGCTGGGCATGACTTAACACAAAGACAAGACAAATTAGGTGTTGTGAGATCACAAGGAAGGCATGTGCACAACTTGTGAGGCAATTCCAAACAGTTGAGGCATGTGCACTGTAAATGGTGGCGATTTCAAACGATTGCTGGCATGCAAGACTATTCTGTGCAGAATACTGACATGTGCACATCATGAGAGGATTGCTGGCATATGCACACAGTATGCACAACAGTTGAAGGCAGTTGTTGGCTAAGTCAATTANAACCTTGACAGTGACTTGTATTATAATTCACTAGAACCTTGACTGCACTGTTCAGAGATCACGAATGCCCCAGGATTCTCTCTCCTCTGTTTACTTTATCTGACATCATTTATTCTTGATCTAAGAGTATTGTGTTAGCTTTTGTGACCAGAGCTACAAAACCTGCTTTGCAGAATTTAGTTGAATTTCATTTCTCTAATTGTGTCGTTCATGCCTTACAGGGTGGTAGTCTCATAAACTTTCAGTTAAAATCATGATATTGACCTGCTGCTTTGATGCAACCCTCTCTTGTACCATTGGTTTGATTGCAGAATGCTTAAATGCTTTGTTTGTATCTATGCAGGTAAGACCTGGCAAATACAACCACTAAATGAAAAAGCATCATCCGTTCATAGGCATAATAAAACTTTCACAAATGATAGTGGACTTGGTTGTCTGTCTTTATACCGTCAAATCTACTTGGTCCGGGTAATAACTTAATCAGTAATGTGTGCAGTCTAAGACAGACTTTCAAATATTACATTCTAAATTGTCACAGATTGGTGTTTCTGGAAGTTCTATTGACTTTTACTAGTGGGATTTAGTAATTCAACCATTGCATTGATTTGAAATATAAATTTTGTGAATATGTTTTGACACTTGAGAAGTATAGTAGGTTTGTAATCGAAGATTACACGGTGACATTAATGTTCTTAGTACAGGTTTGAATATGTGTTGATATTGTCAATCTTTGTCTCTTGCTTTGGCTAATGCTATACCCTTAACGGATCATAAGAGGTTACTTTACCATTTTAGATTGTGGATCATAAGATACCAGCATGGATAGCAACAATAGGCGCGCAACATTTTTAGAAATTTGGAATCCAACTTACCAGGATAGAGACTAGGCATATATGTCTTAATACCCGGCAATACTGTTCAATCATAAGAAGTATACCCGCAGCAGTAACAAGAACATCCAACACAGCCAACAACATATTTTGTTTACCGGATCAGGAAGAAATAGATTTTATGAGCAAAATCAAACAAAGTCTCACGTGCAACAAATAAATAATGCAAAAGCACGTTCATAGATTCGTCCGATAACTACTAATATACCTTTAAAAACTATTCACATTCTACCGTTCTATTTACCTAGTAAAATTTGCAAATCAAGCCCTTTCAGAACACAGGCAGGCACCATGAAATTCGAAGTAACAGTCAGTGAAAATGCCACAAGTATCAATGGCTCCCATTGAAATGAATGAGCAATTAGAAGCCCAACATAACAAAAAGATTCATAGAGTTGGAACAATTGCTATAGCATATAAAAATTTGTGTACCTACGATGCAACATCCAGAAGAAAGTTACGACCAAAAAAAGGGAGCACAGAATGGACGAAGTTACTGCTAGAACTTTTCTCAAGTATCTATGAGCTCCTGAAGACGCCTATCCAGCTCATGCAATCGAGTGCTCCAGTCACTCTTAAGGCACAAGGGTCTAACATTGCCATGATCCAAACTATCTTCATTCTCTTGGTCTTTTGCACTGTTGCGACCTCTGCTTCGACTTCGAGTGGACGCGGACAGAGATGCTGAGGAAAAGCCCCTTTTCTTTTTCATGTTCTTTTGAGCAGTGGCTTTCTGTAATGCCCACAGCACATCAGAACCACTCAGCTCTCCTTGTTCAACCAGTGATTGTAGTTGTTTTTGTTGTTGTGGCTTTGGTCTTGAATTGAAGGTATTGACTGAGGTGGTATTGTTCTGAGGATTTGATTTGAGGGCAAAGGCGGCGGCGACGGCTACGGCGTGCCCCAAATTACCCATGTCTTGGATGGACTCATCTTTCTGGGGTTGCGATTTCCGTCGAGGTTTGGCCGAGAAGGTGACGATAAAACTCCTCTCCGGCCGCCTGTTGCTGCTGCTGCTGGTGGATTTTATATTGAAGGGCCATGCTGTGGATGATCGGATTGAGGCGGCCCACATGATTTTGTGGCTGTGGCTGTGGCTGTGGTGGCCGTGGTATCGCTGGACACTTTGTATTGAGCTGGTAAGACAAAAAGTTATGGATTCGAATCTTCTGGCCTAGAATTGGACACAAAAGTGGATTGGTTTGTTGCCCCTTATTTTTTTGGCTTGGCGTTGACGTGGGCTGTCTCACCCATAGGTGTCCGTACCTCAAATTGAGCTGTATTTTATTGGGTTACAAAGCGAATCAACAAAGATTCAAGTGATATACAATGATTATGTTCCGAGTTCAAATCATTATGATTATTTGACTCAGAGTATATTTATTGCTATCAATAAATTTTTACTTCATAACGACATTATAGAGAGGTACTCTATGCAGGAGTGTTAGATCAGCTTCCCCAAGAACCCCTATGCCCCTAAGTTTTGGCACACGAAAGCAAGATATGATCCCAACAAATGCTTGTCATGGGTGGAGACAAGACATTCCAAAATTCAAAGTCTGAGATGCAGGGCCAATGATGTGAGAGACTCATCGTTGGCGAAAATCTCATGCATAGTTGAGAGAGACAACAAATGCATGGGCATAATCAATAGGTTAATTGAAGCCGCATGCATGGCTAAAGGAGACAGCTCATGCATGGACACGTTAGATACACCTAGGAGGTTGATTAAAGCCTCATGCATGGCTGAGAGAGGCAGCTCATGCATGAGAACGTTGGACACAAGCAAGCATGTAAGCAAGGCTAACTAGTGAGCTTGAATTGTGGGACAATACTAACTTGAAAGACCAAGTCATAAGCTGGGCATGACTTAACACAAAGACAAGACAAATTAGGTGTTGTGAGATCACAAGGAAGGCATGTGCACAACTTGTGAGGCAATTCCAAACAGTTGAGGCATGTGCACTGTAAATGGTGGCGATTTCAAACGATTGCTGGCATGCAAGACTATTCTGTGCAGAATACTGACATGTGCACATCATGAGAGGATTGCTGGCATATGCACACAGTATGCACAACAGTTGAAGGCAGTTGTTGGCTAAGTCAATTAGCAGTTGTAATTGCCTCTTGCCATGATTGGCATACGTGGGAGTGGTAGAGAGACTTAACCATGGTAAGCAGGTTGTGGATGACTTTGTGGGTGAATTTGATGTAACTTTACAGTTGTTTAGCTGGTTGGGCTTGTAACGGCCATTCTGTATACTATATATAAGCATGTTTAGGTCTGCTGTGCAGTCAAGAGAGTTGGACATACTTTGTAAACAGACCCTTGACTGAGTTTCCTTTAGGCTTTGCTGAGAAAAAAAAAGTTGGGTCAATTGGCCTGTAAAGTTTGTTTGTGCTATGAGTTTGTTTGTTGTATCTATTTTGTTCGTATATGCATTTCTGTGAGCGTTTGAATGTATTGACTGAGACTGAGTGTAAGATCTCAATATTATTACGAGACAAAAATTCGAGTGAAAAATTGACCCCATGACAATTGGACTAAAGTCTATGGGCTTTAATTGTGGTCAGATAAGTGCGAGAAGCCCGTGGTTTACCTTTCTTATTACTTTACTAGTAATAATCCGTGCCTAAAGGCACTTTACAACTAAAAAAACACCGTCACTTTGAAACAATTTTTCTTTCATTTGCTTCAATTAAAAAAATTGAAATCAATCTAGTCTTCACTATTTTTTTTAAAAAAATCGTCATAATTTCCTCTAAAAATAGTAATCTAGAAAAATCTCAANCGGATCATAAGAGGTTACTTTACCATTTTAGATTGTGGATCATAAGATACCAGCATGGATAGCAACAATAGGCGCAACATTTTTAGAAATTTGGAATCCAACTTACCAGGATAGAGACTAGGCATATATGTCTTAATACCCGGCAATACTGTTCAATCATAAGAAGTATACCCGCAGCAGTAACAAGAACATCCAACACAGCCAACAACATATTTTGTTTACCGGATCAGGAAGAAATAGATTTTATGAGCAAAATCAAACAAAGTCTCACGTGCAACAAATAAATAATGCAANCTCAAGCTCAAATCATTATGATTATTTGACTCAGAGTATATTTATTGCTGTCAATAAATTTTTGCTTCATAACGACATTATAGAGAGGTACTCTATGCAGGAGTGTTAGATCAGCTTCCCCAAGAACCCCTGTGCCCCTAAGCTTTGGCACACGAAAGCAAAATATGATCCCAACAAATGCTTGTCATGGGTGGAGACAAGACATTCCAATATTCAAAATCCGAGATGCAGGGCCAATGATGTGAGAGACTCGTCGTTGGCGAAAATCTCATGCATAGTTGAGAGAGACAACACATGCATGGGCATAATCAATAGGTTAATTGAAGCCACATGCATGACTGAAGGAGGCAGCTCATGCATGGGCACGTTAGATACACCTAGGAGGTTGATTAAAGCCTCATGCATGGCTGAGAGAGGCAGCTCATGCATGAGAACGTTGGACNAGTTAACCTCATTCAAGTATTGGTTGAATTGCAGATAAGTTTAAATTAATATGGGCTTACTATTTTTCAAATAATTTCAACAAAGTCATCTCCAAAAATTAACAATATAAGATTCCTTGGTTATGAAAAAGNTATGTCTTAATACCCGGCAATACTGTTCAATCATAAGAAGTATACCCGCAGCAGTAACAAGAACATCCAACACAGCCAACAACATATTTTGTTTACCGGATCAGNCCTTGGTTATGAAAAAGAATTACAGTCCAGCCATGCATTGATCAAGTTGTCAAAACAACAACTTTGTGTGACTAAATCAACCTGAAGACAGGAAAGAAAATGAANTCCAACACAGCCAACAACATATTTTGTTTACCGGATCAGGAAGAAATAGATTTTATGAGCAAAATCAAACAAAGTCTCACGTGCAACAAATAAATAATGCAAAAGCACGTTCATAGATACNAATGTGAGAAAATGGAAGCGTGTAAGCAATTGTCTAAACCCAATAAAACAAATGGAAGCACAAATATAGAACTAATTTGTAACGGAAAAATTGGGAAAACAAAGCTAAGAGGATTCCTTTCGTGATAGGGGTTCTTTCAACATCAACTCAAAGCCACACAAAACAAAAANACGTCCGATAACTACTAATATACCTTTAAAAACTATTCACATTCTACCGTTCTATTTACCTAGTAAAATTTGCAAATCAAGCCCTTTCAGAACACAGGCAGGCACCATGAANTCGTCCGATAACTACTAATATACCTTTAAAAACTATTCACATTCTACCGTTCAGTTTACCTAGTAAAATTTGCAAATCAAGCCCTTTCAGAACACAGGCAGGCACCATGAANGATAGAACTAATTTGTAACGAAAAAATTGGGAAAACAAAGCTAAGAGGATTCCTTTCGTGATAGGAGTTCTTTCAACATCAACTCAAAGCCACACAAAATAAAAAGTTACAATAAAACTTAAGGACATAATCAACAGTTAGTTAATTGAGAAAGTTTCTAAAACCCGTAANAAATTCGAAGTAACAGTCAGTGAAAATGCCACAAGTATCAATGGCTCCCATTGAAATGAATGAGCAATTAGAAGCCCAACATAACAAAAAGATTCATAGAGTTGGAACAATTGCTATAGCATATAAAAATTTGTGTACCTACGATGCAACATCCAGAAGAAAGTTATGACCAAAAAAAGGGAGCACAAAATGGACGAAGTTACTGCTAGAACTTTTCTCAAGTATCTATGAGCTCCTGAAGACGCCTATCCAGCTCATGCAATCGAGTGCTCCAGTCACTCTTAAGGCACAAGGGTCTAACATTGCCATGATCCAAACTATCTTCATTCTCTTGGTCTTTTGCACTGTTGCGACCTCTGCTTCGACTTCGAGTGGACGCGGACAGAGATGCTGAGGAAAAGCCCCTTTTCTTTTTCATGTTCTTTTGAGCAGTGGCTTTCTGTAATGCCCACAGCACATCAGAACCACTCAGCTCTCCTTGTTCAACCAGTGATTGTAGTTGTTTTTGTTGTTGTGGCTTTGGTCTTGAATTGAAGGTATTGACTGAGGTGGTATTGTTCTGAGGATTTGATTTGAGGGCAAAGGCGGCGGCGACGGCTACGGCGTGCCCCAAATTACCCATGTCTTGGATGGACTCATCTTTCTGGGGTTGCGATTTCCGTCGAGGTTTGGCCGAGAAGGTGACGATAAAACTCCTCTCCGGCCGCCTGTTGCTGCTGCTGCTGGTGGATTTTATATTGAAGGGCCATGCTGTGGATGATCGGATTGAGGCGGCCCACATGATTTTGTGGCTGTGGCTGTGGCTGTGGTGGCCGTGGTATCGCTGGACACTTTGTATTGAGCTGGTAAGACAAAAAGTTATGGATTCGAATCTTCTGGCCTAGAATTGGACACAAAAGTGGATTGGTTTGTTGCCCCTTATCTTTTTGGCTCGGCGTTGACGTGGGCTGTCTCACCCATAGGTGTCCGTACCTCAAATTGAGCTGTATTTTATTGGGTTACAAAGCGAATCAACAAAGATTCAAGTGATATACAATGATTATGTCTCAAGCTCAAATCATTATGATTATTTGACTCAGAGTATATTTATTGCTGTCAATAAATTTTTGCTTCATAACGACATTATAGAGAGGTACTCTATGCAGGAGTGTTAGATCAGCTTCCCCAAGAACCCCTGTGCCCCTAAGCTTTGGCACACGAAAGCAAAATATGATCCCAACAAATGCTTGTCATGGGTGGAGACAAGACATTCCAATATTCAAAATCCGAGATGCAGGGCCAATGATGTGAGAGACTCGTCGTTGGCGAAAATCTCATGCATAGTTGAGAGAGACAACACATGCATGGGCATAATCAATAGGTTAATTGAAGCCACATGCATGACTGAAGGAGGCAGCTCATGCATGGGCACGTTAGATACACCTAGGAGGTTGATTAAAGCCTCATGCATGGCTGAGAGAGGCAGCTCATGCATGAGAACGTTGGACACAAGCAAGCATGTAAGCAAGGCTAACTAGTGAGCTTGAATTGTGGGACAATACTAACTTGAAAGACCAAGTCATAAGCTGGGCATGACTTAACACAAAGACAAGACAAATTAGGTGTTGTGAGATCACAAGGAAGGCATGTGCACAACTTGTGAGGCAATTCCGAACAATTGAGACATGTGCACTGTAAATGGTGGTGATTTCAAACGATTGCTGGCATGCAAGACTATTCTGTGCAGAATACTGACATGTGCACATCATGAGAGGATTGTTGGCATATGCACACAGTATGCACAACAGTTGAAGGCAGTTGTTGGCTAAGTCAATTAGCAGTTGTAATTGCCTCTTGCCATGATTGGCATACGTGGGAGTGGTAGAGAGACTTAACCATGGTAAGCAGGTTGTGGATGACTTTGTGGGTGAATTTGATGTAACTTTACAGTTGTTTAGCTGGTTGGGCTTGTAACGGCCATTCTGTATACTATATATAAGCATGTTTAGGTCTGCTGTGCAGTCAAGAGAGTTGGACATACTTTGTAAACAGACCCTTGACTGAGTTTCCTTTAGGCTTTGCTGAGAAAAAAAAAGTTGGGTCAATTGGCCTGTAAAGTTTGTTTGTGCTATGAGTTTGTTTGTTGTATCTATTTTGTTCGTATATGCATTTCTGTGAGCGTTTGAATGTATTGACTGAGACTGAGTGTAAGATCTCAATATTATTACGAGACAAAAATTCGAGTGAAAAATTGACCCCATGACAATTGGACTAAAGTCTATGGGCTTTAATTGTGGTCAGATAAGTGCGAGAAGCCCGTGGTTTACCTTTCTTATTACTTTACTAGTAATAATCCGTGCCTAAAGGCACTTTACAACTAAAAAAACACCGTCACTTTGAAACAATTTTTCTTTCATTTGCTTCAATTAAAAAAATTGAAATCAATCTAGTCTTCACTATTTTTTTTAAAAAAATCGTCATAATTTCCTCTAAAAATAGTAATCTAGAAAAATCTCAACCTGTATACAAAAATTATATATCTCATAGTCATACCCAAATCAACACCATAATATTAACCATTCATGTCATAGTCCATCCTTAAAACAACAATTTAACAACATAACAATTTACCTAGTTATTAGTTAACCTCATTCAAGTATTGGTTGAATTGCAGATAAGTTTAAATTAATATGGGCTTACTATTTTTCAAATAATTTCAACAAAGTCATCTCCAAAAATTAACAATATAAAATTTCTTGGTTATGAAAAAGAATTACAGTCCAGCCATGCATTGATCAAGTTGTCAAAACAACAACTTTGTGTGACTAAATCAACCTGAAGACAGGAAAGAAAATGAATTAGTCATATTCGTAGGACACTAAATCGGACAAAAAGAAAAGGAAAAATGGAAGCGTATAAGCGTATGCAAGAAAATATGAATTACAAACCCAATAAAGCAAATGTGAGAAAATGGAAGCGTGTAAGCAATTGTCTAAACCCAATAAAACAAATGGAAGCACAAAGATAGAACTAATTTGTAACGGAAAAATTGGGAAAACAAAGCTAAGAGGATTCCTTTCGTGATAGGAGTTCTTTCAACATCAACTCAAAGCCACACAAAATAAAAAGTTACAATAAAACTTAAGGACATAATCAACAGTTAGTTAATTGAGAAAGTTTCTAAAACCCGTAAACTTTTATAGATTTCAAACAAAATAGATCACATTCAAAGTGTTATGACACTAAAAATAAATAACCTAGCTATTTTCAAAATAAATAAAAAATTACCTCACGACATGAGAGTGTCGAGTGATCGTGATCACCACTTGAGTTCAACCATAGCAAACATTTCCTTCAATTTGCGTCAAATTGAACCTAATGGCAATAGAAACACATGTTTATCAAAAAAATCGACTCATCATTCCACATAAGAGTTGGAAATTAACCAACCTTTATATACCAATGGAGCAATAACATTCAAACCAATTTAACATTCAAAATACCCAAACTATAACAATCAAACTATAACATTCGAGCTATAACAAAACTTATCAAACTTATTTGAAAAAACACTCAAATGAACACCAAAATTATCAAATCAATTTAGAGCATCCAAATTCCAATTGAAAATTGACAACTTGATATCTCATCAAAAGTATGCATATTAATATGCTGAAACACGTCTATGAACCTATCAATTTCATTAGGCTATTCAAATTAAACAAAAATTCACAAGGGTTCAAATTAAATACTAAAATTCATATTCAAAACCACAAATAATATGTACATCACCAATGCAGATNTTTCTAAAACCCGTAAACTTTTATAGATTTCAAACAAAATAGATCACATTCAAAGTGTTATGACACTAAAAATAAATAACCTAGCTATTTTCAAAATAAATAAAAAATTACCTCACGACATGAGAGTGTCGAGTGATCGTGATCACCNCGACCAAAAAAAGGGAGCACAGAATGGACGAAGTTACTGCTAGAACTTTTCTCAAGTATCTATGAGCTCCTGAAGACGCCTATCCAGCTCATGCAATCGAGAGCTCCAGTCACTCTTAAGGCACAAGGGTCTAACATTGCCATGATCCAAACTATCTTCATTCTCTTGGTCTTTTGCACTGTTGCGACCNTGACCAAAAAAAGGGAGCACAAAATGGACGAAGTTACTGCTAGAACTTTTCTCAAGTATCTATGAGCTCCTGAAGACGCCTATCCAGCTCATGCAATCGAGTGCTCCAGTCACTCTTAAGGCACAAGGGTCTAACATTGCCATGATCCAAACTATCTTCATTCTCTTGGTCTTTTGCACTGTTGCGACCTCTGCTTCGACTTCGAGTGGACGCGGACAGAGATGCTGAGGAAAAGCCCCTTTTCTTTTTCATGTTCTTTTGAGCAGTGGCTTTCTGTAATGCCCACAGCACATCAGAACCACTCAGCTCTCCTTGTTCAACCAGTGATTGTAGTTGTTTTTGTTGTTGTGGCTTTGGTCTTGAATTGAAGGTATTGACTGAGGTGGTATTGTTCTGAGGATTTGATTTGAGGGCAAAGGCGGCGGCGACGGCTACGGCGTGCCCCAAATTACCCATGTCTTGGATGGACTCATCTTTCTGGGGTTGCGATTTCCGTCGAGGTTTGGCCGAGAAGGTGACGATAAAACTCCTCTCCGGCCGCCTGTTGCTGCTGCTGCTGGTGGATTCTATATTGAAGGGCCATGCTGTGGATGATCGGGTTGAGGCGGCCCACATGATTTTGTGGCTGTGGCTGTGGCTGTGGTGGCCGTGGTATCGCTGGACACTTTGTATTGAGCTGGTAAGACAAAAAGTTATGGATTCGAATCTTCTGGCCTAGAATTGGACACAAAAGTGGATTGGTTTGTTGCCCCTTATCTTTTTGGCTCGGCGTTGACGTGGGCTGTCTCACCCATAGGTGTCCGTACCTCAAATTGAGCTGTATTTTATTGGGTTACAAAGCGAATCAACAAAGATTCAAGTGATATACAATGATTATGTCTCAAGCTCAAATCATTATGATTATTTGACTCAGAGTATATTTATTGCTGTCAATAAATTTTTGCTTCATAACGACATTATAGAGAGGTACTCTATGCAGGAGTGTTAGATCAGCTTCCCCAAGAACCCCTGTGCCCCTAAGCTTTGGCACACGAAAGCAAAATATGATCCCAACAAATGCTTGTCATGGGTGGAGACAAGACATTCCAATATTCAAAATCCGAGATGCAGGGCCAATGATGTGAGAGACTCGTCGTTGGCGAAAATCTCATGCATAGTTGAGAGAGACAACACATGCATGGGCATAATCAATAGGTTAATTGAAGCCACATGCATGACTGAAGGAGGCAGCTCATGCATGGGCACGTTAGATACACCTAGGAGGTTGATTAAAGCCTCATGCATGGCTGAGAGAGGCAGCTCATGCATGAGAACGTTGGACACAAGCAAGCATGTAAGCAAGGCTAACTAGTGAGCTTGAATTGTGGGACAATACTAACTTGAAAGACCAAGTCATAAGCTGGGCATGACTTAACACAAAGACAAGACAAATTAGGTGTTGTGAGATCACAAGGAAGGCATGTGCACAACTTGTGAGGCAATTCCGAACAATTGAGACATGTGCACTGTAAATGGTGGTGATTTCAAACGATTGCTGGCATGCAAGACTATTCTGTGCAGAATACTGACATGTGCACATCATGAGAGGATTGTTGGCATATGCACACAGTATGCACAACAGTTGAAGGCAGTTGTTGGCTAAGTCAATTAGCAGTTGTAATTGCCTCTTGCCATGATTGGCATACGTGGGAGTGGTAGAGAGACTTAACCATGGTAAGCAGGTTGTGGATGACTTTGTGGGTGAATTTGATGTAACTTTACAATTGTCTAGGTGGTTGGGCTTGTAACTGCCATTCTGTATACTATATATAAGCATGTTTAAGTCTGTTGTGCAATCAAGAGAATTAGACATACTTTGTAAACAGACCCTTGACTGAGTTTCTTTTAGGCTTTGCTGAGAAAAAAAAAGGTTGGGTCAATTGGCCTGTAAAGTTTGTTTGTGCTATGAGTTTGTTTGCTGTATCTATTTTGTTCGTATATGCATTTCTGTGAGCGTTTGAATGTATTGACTGAGACTGAGTATAAGATCTCAATATTATTACAAGACAAAAATTCGAGTGAAAAATTGACCCCATGACAATTGGACTAAAGTCTATGGGCTTTAATTGTGGTCAGATAAGTGCGAGAAGCCCGTGGTTTACCTTTCTTATTACTTTACTAGTAATAATCCGTGCCTAAAGGCACTTTACAACTAAAAAAACACCGTCACTTTGAAACAATTTTTCTTTCATTTGCTTCAATTAAAAAAATTGAAATCAATCTAGTCTTCACTATTTTTTTAAAAAAAATCGTCATAATTTCCTTTAAAAATAGTAATCTAGAAAAATCTCAACCTGTATACAAAAATTATATATCTCATAGTCATACCCAAATCAACACCATAATATTAACCATTCATGTCATAGTCCATCCTTAAAACAACAATTTAACAACATAACAATTTACCTAGTTATTAGTTAACCTCATTCAAGTATTGGTTGAATTGCAGATAAGTTTAAATTAATATGGGCTTACTATTTTTCAAATAATTTCAACAAAGTCATCTCCAAAAATTAACAATATAAAATTTCTTGGTTATGAAAAAGAATTACAGTCCAGCCATGCATTGATCAAGCTGTCAAAACAACAACTTTGTGTGACTAAATCAACCTGAAGACAGGAAAGAAAATGAATTAGTCATATTCGTAGGACACTAAACCGGACAAAAAGAAAAGGAAAAATGGAAGCGTATAAGCGTATGCAAGAAAATATGAATTGCAAACCCAATAAAGCAAATGTGAGAAAATGGAAGCGTGTAAGCAATTGTCTAAACCCAATAAAACAAATGGAAGCACAAATATAGAACTAATTTGTAACGGAAAAATTGGGAAAACAAAGCTAAGAGGATTCCTTTCGTGATAGGGGTTCTTTCAACATCAACTCAAAGCCACACAAAATAAAAAGTTACAATAAAACTTAAGGACATAATCAACAGTTAGTTAATTGAGAAAGTTTCTAAAACCCGTAAACTTTTATAGATTTCAAACAAAATAGATCACATTCAAAGTGTTATGACACTAAAAATAAATAACCTAGCTATTTTCAAAATAAATAAAAAATTACCTCACGACATGAGAGTGTCGAGTGATCGTGATCACCACTTGAGTTCAACCATAGCAAACATTTCCTTCAATTTGCGTCAAATTGAACCTAATGGCAATAGAAACACATGTTTATCAAAAAAATCGACCCATCATTCCACAGAAGAGTTGGAAATTAACCAACCTTTATATACCAATGGAGCAATAACATTCAAACCAATTTAACATTCAAAATACCCAAACTATAACAATCAAACTATAACATTCGAGCTATAACAAAACTTATCAAACTTATTTGAAAAAACACTCAAATGAACACCAAAATTATCAAATCAATTTAGAGCATCCAAATTCCAATTGAAAATTGCCAACTTGATATCTCATCAAAAGTATGCATATTAATATGTTGAAACACGTCTATGAACCTATCAATTTCATTAGGCTATTCAAATTAAACAAAAATTCACAGGGGTTCAAATTAAATACTAAAATTCATATTCAAAACCACAAATAATATGTACATCACCAATGCAGATAAAATACTCAACAAATCAAGCCAAAACTCTCACTTCAGAGCACCAAGGTGGAGGAATTATATAACCCCAGACTGACTCTCAGTATGGAGGAGGCAAACCTGAAAATTATGGAAGAATCATAAATTTAAAAAAACACAAATAAAAGTAGAAACATATTAGAGTAAAGAAATTGACAACTTTCGACTACTGTAGAATGTGTTTGGTTGCTTCATTTACAAAAACTTTTTTAAATCATGGTGTCCTTTAATTCCAAATAAACAAAAAAACTCCATACTAAAAGCTAGATTAGACTTCATACGTAAATTCAATCTTACACAATTAAAAAAAAATTATGATTCATATATCTCATCTCATTTTTTTTCCAATCAACGTGATAATNTCAATTGAAAATTGCCAACTTGATATCTCATCAAAAGTATACATATTAATATGCTGAAACACGTCTATGAACCTATCAATTTCATTAGGCTATTCAAATTAAACAAAAATTCACAGGGGTTCAAATTAAATACTAAAATTCATATTCAAAACCACAAATAATATGTACATCACCAATGCAGATAAAATACTCAGCAAATCAAGCCAAAACTCTCACTTCAGAGCACCAAGGTGGAGTAGTTATATAACCCCAGACTGACTCTCAGTATGGAGGAGGCAAACCTGAAAATTATGGAAGAACCATAAATTTAAAAAAACACAAATAAAAGTAGAAACGTATTAGAGTAAAGAAATTGACAACTTCCGACCACTATAGAATGTGTTTGGTTGCTTCATTTACAAAAACTTTTTTAAATGATGGTGTCCTTTAATTCCAAATAAACAAAAAAACTTCATACTAAAAGCTAGATCAGACTTCATAGGTAAATTCAATCTTACACAGTTAAAAAAAATTATGATTCATATATCATATCTCATTTTTTTTCCAATCAACGTGATAATGAACTCACACTTAGAAGAAGAAACTCCAATTTAGCCCAATACAAAGCTAAAATACTAATGGAATTATATCAGTGCTTTAAAACCCATATCAGTGCTTTAATGGAATTCGTGAATGGCAGATGGAAGAAACTGTTCAGGAAAAAAAAAAGATCTCTAATAACCCAGCAAAATGAATTCATTTTAAATTATCCAANACAAATCAAACCAAAACTCTCACTTCAGAGCACCAAGGTGGAGGAGTTATATAACCCCAGACTGACTCTCAGTATGGAGGAGGCAAACTTGAAAATTATGGAAGAACCATAAATTTAAAAAAACACAAATAAAAGTAGAAACGTATTAGAGTAAAGAAATTGACAACTTCCGACTACTATAGAATGTGTTTGGTTGCTTCATTTACAAAAACTTTTTTAAATGATGGTGTCCTTTAATTCCAAATAAACAAAAAAACTTCATACTAAAAGCTAGATCAGACTTCATAGGTAAATTCAATCTTACACAGTTAAAAAAAATTATGATTCATATATCATATCTCATTTTTTTTCNGTCCTTTAATTCCAAATAAACAAAAAAACTCCATACTAAAAGCTAGATCAGACTTCATACGTAAATTCAATCTTACACAATTAAAAAAAATTATGATTCATATATCTCATCTCATTTTTTTTCCAATCAACGTGATAATGAACTCACACTTAGAAGAAGAAACTCCAATTTAGCCCAATACAAAGCTAAAATACTAATGGAATTATATCAGTGCTTTAAAACCCATATCAGTGCTTTAATGGAATTCGTGAATAGCAGATGGAAGAAACTGTTCGGGAAAAAAAAAATCTCTAATAACCCAGCAAAATAAATTCATTTTAAATTATCCAAGAAGTTGGGCAAAGAACATGCGGGTTTTGAAATTCATTTTAATAAAAGATCTCTGATAACCCAGCAAAGCCAGCTTTTGAAATGCAATAAGAGATTCTCGCAAAGTTATTGGATTTCCAATAAACAAAATCAACTTTTTCTAATCCCATGAATTGTCTATTTTGCAACTTCCTTTTCCATGAAGCAACCAAACACATGATTCATTTGATAAAGAGGAAAAAAAAAATGAAAACCCATTAACTTAGGCAAAGAACAACGTGATAATGAACTCAGAAGTGGGTATTTTTTTTTCACTTAGAAGAAGAAACTCCAATTTAGCCCAATAACAAAGTATACTAATCAAAGAAGGACTGACCCAAAAGGGTGTTGAGCGAAAGAGTGGGGGAGAAGAAGGTACCTGGGCTGAGCTTGGTGAGATTGGTGAATGGTTGTTGATCGCCACTGGTGTTGCCGCTGAGCCATGGCAGAGGAGTGAGAGGGGTGTGGGTAGAGGGGTAAGGGGTCTGAGTAGCGTGTGCTGCAGCTGTGGAAGAGGAAGTGACTGGAGGGGGTAGCGTGGCAGAGGTAGCGTGTAGGGGGTGGGTTTGATTTGGGCGGGATTTTTGTTTATGTGAGATGAAATGTTAGCCTTTGGATTAAGTTTGAAGAATTGAATTTTAAATTAAGAAAATATTTAAAATTAGTCCTATCTTATTATTATAGATTGGTTTCCCAATATTAAATGTGCAGCGATTGTGACTCTACAAAGGCTAAATAAATAAATAAATATAGAATGATACGACATCGTTTTTTGTAGTTCCTTGCCCTTTGACTGCAATTTGCTATTCCATGGGGCAAAGGAAAGTTGTAGTCGTTATTTTTGGTGGTGGCAATTCCTTATATTATTAATAGGACACCATTGGGTGTACCAGGGAAAAAAAGGGGAAGGGGAAGGGGAAGGGGGAAGGGGGATTGGAAAGTTATCTTTTAATTTTCTGTGTTGTTTTCCTGTTCTTTAGAAGAACATGAAGAACATAAATGTATTTTTGAGACTACTACTTATTTTTATGTTCTTAATAATGTGTTTGAAGCCAAACACATCAAAGTCCTGATAAATCATTGTGGTTTATGTTTTGTTTTATCTATTGCTAGTGTGTACGAGAATTAATTTAGAAGCAAGCAGAGTACAATAAAGCAGCAGTGATTGGATTGGTAAATTCGGCTGAAGCAGCCACATTTTCTTGATCCAGATTTTTTTGGGTAAGAGTTGCCTTCATTTTTAGAGTTGTACACTTTCTTTCTTTCATGCGGGTATTGTAAGTTTTTTTGATTACCTTGGATTGAATTCTGTTCAGATGCTTTCTTATTGAACCCAAACTATTGTGATATCATGTTCAATCATAAATATTTATATATTTCAATATTACTACTTTGAATGAATTGAGATAATTATAGGACAAAGCTGATTCTATCAAGTATAAGATCTGTTAGCCACTAAATGCTATCTAATGGCAAGTTGATTAATTGGTTATAGACGATTTCCTACAAATTTTCATTCACTTACATTTCTCAATCAATTGTTCAATGTAAAACTTGAACAAGGAACACTAACATCTTTGCGTGAGGAAAAAGGTATTGTCAAAGGATTTCGATACACGTACAAGAAAAGTAAACAAATGACTGAGTATGTTTNAGAGATTCTCGCAAAGTTATTGGATTTCCAATAAACAAAATCAACTTTTTCTAATCCCATGAATTGTCTATTTTGCAACTTCCTTTTCCATGAAGCAACCAAACACATGATTCATTTGATAAAGAGGAAAAAAAAAATGAAAACCCATTAACTTAAGCAAAGAACAACATGATAATAAACTCAGAAGTGGGTATTTTTTTTCAGAAGTGGGTATTTTTTTTTCACTTAGAAGAAGAAACTCCAATTTAGCCCAATAACAAAGTATACTAATCAAAGAAGGACTGACCCAAAGCTTCAACCAACCTCCAAAAATTGAACAGACAAAGAAGAAAGGACTGACCCAAAAGGGGTGCTGAGCGAAAGAGTGGGGGAGAAGAAGGTATCTGGGCTGAGCTTGGTGAGATTGGTGAATGGGTGTTGATCGCCACTGGTGTTGCCGCTGAGCCATGGCAGAGGAGTGAGAGGGGTGTGGGTAGAGGGGTAAGGGGTCTGGGTAGCGTGTGCTGCCGCTGTGGAAGAGGAAGTGACTGGAGGGGGTAGCGTGGCAGATGAAGTGGCTGGAAGAGATAGCGTGTAGGGGGTGGGTTTGATTTGGGCGGGATTTTTGTTTATGTGAGATGAAATGTTAGCCTTTGGATTAAGTTTGAAGAATTGAGATGAAATCTAGGTCATTAATTTAAAATTAGAATGAATTTGAGTTGTCCTTGTGTTTTTCTAAATAAATTTAAATTAAATTAAATTTTAAATTAAGAAAATATTTAAAATTAGTCCTATCTTATTATTATAGATTGGTTTCCCCAATATTAAATGTGCAGCGATTGTGACTCTACAAAGGCTAAATAAATAAATAAATATAGAATGAGGAAGGTTATTTTGATTTAATTACTGATCTAATTCTTAACCCAGTTCTTTCTTACCAATGCTTTTCCAGCTACATTAGTTAACTCTGAGCATCTTTAACAACAAAATGTATTTTATCTACTCAAAAAGTAATATTTTTTATTTTAACTATTTATTTTTTTAATACACATTCTAACATATTTTCTATATTTTTTAACTACTTCTTTTAAATATTATTTGTTATTTTTTTTATATTATTTTTTTTTCAAAATAGTGAAAGAGAGTAAGAGAGAGGAAGGGAGAGAAAATCATATCATACTACTTTAAAATACAGAATAGCTGCAAAACATTTTTTTTTTCACCTTTATCCTTCCGCAAGATAAGTATTGCATCCTTATCCTGCAAAATTAATTATCATACTAAACCTAAATAATCACCTCTTCTCCCACTCTCGTTAACAACGCTTCTCTCTCTCTCTCTCTCTCTCACACACACACACACACACTCGGGAAAAATCAAATAGACAGCCCCCTTTTCTCTCTGTCTTCCCTGGGCATTCAATATTCGGTTTAAAAAAAAAGGCACCCACCTCTTTTCACCTTCTCACTCTCCCTCGTTCTCTCCTTATGTTCTTTTAGTGGGTCTGAAGACTTCCGGGCTTCTCTCTCCATTCCTTTCTTCTCGAAAATTATTTAATAATGGGAAGTCAGTTACAAAATTCAATCATCTTAGTGGATCTAAAGCTTCTGGTATTCCTTAAACCATCATCATCTCCCTAAATTTGTTCAATTATAAGAATTTATTTACCCATTTCAGTTACTTCTCTTTTAAGATAAAAAGTCTTATTCTGGTTTTTGATAGCAGAATCAAATGGAGACTTACGATGGATGAAAAATCAGCTCTCTTGACTGCAGGTTACTTGTTAGAGAGGAAACTATGTAACAACTTAAGATAAAGGGTGATACGACATCGTTTTTTGTAGTTCCTTGCCCTTTGACTGCAATTTGCTATTCCATGGGGCAAAGGAAAGTTGTAGTCGTTATTTTTGGTGGTGGCAATTCCTTATATTATTAATAGGACACCATTGGGTGTACCAGGGAAAAAAAGGGGAAGGGGAAGGGGAAGGGGGAAGGGGGATTGGAAAGTTATCTTTTAATTTTCTGTGTTGTTTTCCTGTTCTTTAGAAGAACATGAAGATATTTTTGAGACTACTACTTATTTTTATGTTCTTAATAATGTGTTTGAAGCCAAACATATCAAAGTCCTGATAAATCATTGTGGTTTATGTTTTGTTTTATCTATTGCTAGTGTGTACGAGAATTAATTTAGAAGCAAGCAGAGTACAATAAAGCAGCAGTGATTGGATTGGTAAATTCGGCTGAAGCAGCCACATTTTCTTGATCCAGATTTTTTTGGGTAAGAGTTGCCTTCATTTTTAGAGTTGTACACTTTCTTTCTTTCATGCGGGTATTGTAAGTTTTTTTGATTACCTTGGATTGAATTCTGTTCAGATGCTTTCTTATTGAACCCAAACTTTTGTGATATCATGTTCAATCATAAATATTTATATATTTCAATATTACTACTTTGAATGAATTGAGATAATTATAGGACAAAGCTGATTCTATCAAGTATAAGATCTGTTAGCCACTAAATGCTATCTAATGGCAAGTTGATTAATTGGTTATAGACGATTTCCTACAAATTTTCATTCACTTACATTTCTCAATCAATTGTTCAATGTAAAACTTGAACAAGGAACACTAACATCTTTGCGTGAGGAAAAAGGTATTGTCAAAGGATTTCGATACACGTACAAGAAAAGTAAACAAATGACTGAGTATGTTTCCCTCTCGCAATCGAAATCATCTTGCGCCTATTTCATAATGCGTGTATGTGGATTTGCGCATACGCATTTAACCTTCATACCCTAGCTTATTACACATTATGAATTCACTTACTAATAGTTTGTATTCATAGCTTGAAAATTCAAATCCTACTTAATACGCTATGAATGTCCTGCCTCAGCTGAATAAAAACTCTATTAGCTTTGCTTCAAATTACAAAACATCAAAAGGCCAAAAGCAAAAATCGTTTGACAATCTAAAGATAGTACCAATGGTGGAGGAGATAAATATTATTGAGAGTGAAACAAATGAGCCATGTCTTGCACAACATACCTCTAAGCATATCCTGGCCGAAACAATCTTTATGAAAAAAAAGTCGCCACTATCTTTTGAAAATGGAGATTGATTGAAGTCTAGGGTAATTAATAAATTTATTTCTGACATCATTATTATTATTTTTTGTGTATTCTTCAACTATGAAAATAAAGGCAGGTTTGTGTCAAAGCAGATAACTAAGAAACATTTCCCAAGTGAAAGGCTATTTCACATACAGAAAGCCTTCAAAAAAAAAAAAAAAAAGAGGTCATGCTTCTTTGACGCCTTTCTAATATTTTCTTAGTTTCCATCTTAAATCTTCTAATCTTATTTTAAATTTTTTTCCACTTGCAGATTGTAGTATTAACAGTAAAAATTTGTCAGCTTGCGATTAAGTTGGAATTTGTTCTCAATTTTTTTTTATGTTATTAAATGTTACGTACAACTCATTCAGCTTATTATATTATCATGTAAATTTCATTGCCACTTTGCCTATGTTTGTTAGCATGACTGAATAATACTNTTCATTCAGCTTATTATATTATTATGTAAATTTCATTGCTACTTTGCCTATGTTTGTTAGCATGACTGAATAATACTTATTTCACAATCTTATGCATGCGTCGCTGGTGGTATAAGTCAAACATGTCCTATTTTATTCTCTTAAATGTGTTTACTTGCGTGATCAGGGGCAGATTCACAATGGAGGCAGCTGCCTCCGCTGAAATTTTAAAAGTTTTTGGGGATTAAANAGGCAGCTGCCTCCACTGAAATTTTAAAAATTTTTG